TTGGCTTTGGGGAGGAGCACAGAGGTTACACTTACATTCATGATGAGTCTCGAGCTGAGATCCGTGACATCAATTATATGTGGAGAGATAGAAGGATTGCCGATGGCAAGAGGAGTGGTTTACACGGCTTCTATTACATCCTCAACAACCTCATTAGGAACACCATCAACCGAAAGGATGGAGCAGCCTCAGATATTAATGGCTATGTGAGAAATGTGTTGGCTAGATTTGCTCCATGTGGGGACAGGTTCAATGTCCCTAGATTCATGTGGACTGAGTTAAGATTTGCAGTGTAGGATGGGAGGACCGGGCTACCCTATGCCCCTTACCTCATGTTCATGATTGAGAGGGTCACTGGATTTTATTTTCCAAAGGATGGGATGCACACCGTTTACAAAATTGAGAAGACCCAGCTAGCTGCAGCTACTCAAGGAGCGGGGAGCTCTCATGCTCATGCAGACATCCCAAAATCTTCCCGCTCTAGGTCTCGCAGAGGAGGCAAGATGAAGAAGTTTGGCAAGTGGTTGAAGGCAATCTTTGGCAAGTGCACCTATGCAGCTGACAAAGCATATGAGACATAGCTTGAGTAGCATCAGCAGCGTGGACAGGACCTTCCACCACTTACTCCTATTCCACCTCCTCCATAGTATGACCTTCTGAGTCTCTCTGACACAGATTCAGATGATGAGGAGTAGAAGGGATGAGCAGCAGATTGGGATGAGACCCTGGAGGGATACTGTCAGAGACAGGAGCTGAGGCGTTCCACTTGCTACACTGCCACTACTCACCATCAGGGCCGTGCACGTATTGACTCCGACGATGATGATGGTGATTGTGGTGCCGGGACTGCTGCAGGAGGTGCTAGGGCTGCAGGAGGTGATGATATTGATTGGACGAACATCCAGGGAGATGACGAGTAGGTGTTGATCTTTCTTGTTTTCTTCTCCTTTTGGTGCTTTATGCCAAAGGGGGAGAAAATTATAGGGGTCAACAACTTTTTGATGCCATGGTCAGCAGCTGCGCTTCATGTCCTATTCGATGAGTGTTAGTCTTCGCTAGGTGGAAAGTTTGAGAGTCGCTCAAAACTCTAAATGGTGATATAATGCTACTATTTTACTTTTTGTGTGGGATATGGACATATATTAATCTATGTTGTTGCTTGTGATACAATTGTGCTAGAATGTATACCTTTATATGTATCACATATTGTGTGGTGTCTGTTCTGATCTGTGCTGTTATAGCAAGTGCGGCAGTGCTGCACCCAGCTACAACAGCAAACCATGTTGTGCATAAACTGTCATTTGCATCACGTTTTACATACCTAACATAGTTTGCAGCACCCCATAGGAGCATGGATATAGGGGGAGCCCCATCACTTTCACTAAAATGTGAATCTTGGCTTCTTATGCCAATTTGAGAATTCAATTCTCTATTCACATACTTAGAGGGAGGCTCTACACCCATGGCTCGAAAGTCTCAGTATTTATTTCATATCTTTTGTAAGCTCTAATTGGGTTGTCATCAATCATCAAAAAGGGGGAGATTGAAAGTGCAATCAAGTCTTAATTGTGGGTTTTGGTGATAATGACCACACAATTAAAGAACTAATGAGATTTATCGAGATGACAAGCAGGAAATTTATATTCGAGGATGCTACACGAAACGGAGGAGCCCCCAATTATAAATGTAGATGGCTTCAAACTCAAAGGAGGTTTAAATTCTTTTATATATTGAATTTGAGTATAGAAAAAGCCGTACTATAAAGAGGGGCACAATGCTTAAGCTAATATGTGCTACCAAGTGCTCTAACAACCACATGCATCCTCAGATTCACAGCCAAGACAGTCTACACTTCACTATAACCCTTGCTGTCTTATGTGGTGCAGCACTGCCGCACTTGAAGAGAGGCTCGCCCGACCCCTTGGTCGTGGGCTCCGGCTCTCCCAACCCCTTGGTCGCGGGCTCCGTCTCACCCGACACCTTGGTCACGGGCTCCGTCTCGTCCGATCTTGAGGCCGTGGGCTCCGTCTTGCCCGACCTCGAGGCTTTGTCTCGCCTGACCCCTTGGGTGCGGTGTCTATTGTGGGCTGGGGGTATATATACCTTTTCCTTTCATCCCCAACGGCTATGTACGATTCAAGTGACCGTTGGGGGCTGGGGGGTATATATACCTTTTCCCTTCCTCCCCATCGGTAAGAAAAGAAAAACGAGCTCTCTTCTTCACTTCAGCACACCCAAAATAGAGCAAGAGCTCTCTCTCTCACTCCATTGTTGACCTCAAGCCCTCAAGCAAATCCATTGATTTTCCCATCAATCCTTGAGGAAAAAGGGTTCCAAAACTCTATTAGAGAGCAGCTCCTTTGATTTCCAAACTCTAAAGAGCACTTGGTTCATGTTTTAGCCGGCGGTTGTGTTTGTTACTCTTGGAGTTGGCTCCTAGCCAGCTAGAGTGTCGCCCGTGGAGCTTGCCAACTTGTGTGGCAGCCCAGGGAGGTTTGTAACCATATCTTGAAGCTAGTAAACTCACCCCTTATCTCAAGACTTAAGTCTCTAGACTTGAGAACGAGCAAGAGCTAGAAAGCTCTAAGCCTTACTAGCTAACCTCAACAACGTGGAGGTAGGCAAGCCTTGGTGGTGAGCCGAACCACGAGATAAATCATTATGTCACTTGTGCTTGATTTACATTACTTGCATGACATATTGTTGATTGAGGTGATTTCTATAGTTTGAGGCTTATCTACTTGTGTGTGGTGTTTCCACCACTTTCCGCTATTGATCTGTGATCTACTACCCTGCAGGAAGCTAAGAAATTTACCCAATCTAAATTTTGTTGGATAGATTTTGAACCGTGAACTAATCTCTCCTGCAGGTACGGCAGTGTCGCACTCACAGAGCGGCAGTGCCACGGGTGAATTTGACTTCGGTTTGAGTTGAATTTTTACAGGCCTATTCACCCCCCCCCCTCTAGGTGTTCCAGAAATCCCACAGCAACTAATACTTATCAGGATTCATGGTTCCTGTCATTCCTGTTTGATTTAGCTTTTGGCTATAGCTTTTGCTCCCAAAAGCCCAAAATCCAACCAAAGGCACCTACTGGACCAACAACTTTTGCCAATAGCAGCTTTCACGTAGTTCATTTTCCATAGTAGGGGAAGAGCTGCTTTCACCAGCTGTAGGGAGTGACTTTCAATGAAATTACCCGCACTACCATCGGTTATGAAGAAAACATTTTGTTCTTTCCCTTTTGTTCCCATCCGCGCAAGTCGCGAGCGCGTCCATCCGCGCGAGGTGAAGCAAAGGTGGCACTAGGGTTTGCTGGTGATGCATCTCGCTGGCCCTGCCTCGGTCTCCTCCGACATCGCCTGGTCCTTTCCGCCACCACCATGTCCTTTCCTACCTTGCCCCAGTCCTCGCCGGCACTAGGACTCACTAACCGCGCCCTATCCTAGCCTCTCTGCTCCGACAAAGAACCCTATCGCCTGGTCCTCACTGGCCCTGCCCAGCTCCTCACTGGCCCCGCCCCATCTAGCCTCTTTGCTCTAGCACGGGATGGGAGTGCCCAGCCCAACTCGCTCCTCTCCGCTCTGATCTAGCCCTGCCCAGCTCGCTCTTGTCCACGCCTAGACGCAATAGCTATGGTCTGCGCCCCTTCCAATAGATAGTTCACATGTTTGAATGGGTAGTGCCATTAGAGGAAGTGGTTAAACACACATGTCATCATGGATATAGATCTCAGAATGTGCTAGTTGTTTGTGACTTTGACATGAGGTTTATTTTTGCGGTTGCTGGTTGACGGGTTCTGCAGATGACACACATATCCTCAATCATGCATGGGCAAATTTTCCTCCATTTCCTGTGCCTCCTAAAGGTATACACATGTCCTTACTAAGGTAGTAGTACTTGTATTATTATTTCCTTATACTTATTTGATTTTGTAGGAAAATATTATGTCGTGGATTCCGGTTATCCAAACCAAATAGGGTATCTTGCCCCTTTCAAAGGAAGCACATACCATATAACAGAATTTTGTTATCGTTCTGGACCACCCCAAGGGAAGTATGAGGTGTTTAATTTCTTGCATTTATCCCTTTGAAATGTCATTGAGCGGGCTTTCGAAGCATTGATGGAGAAGTGGCCCATTTTGATGGGGATATCAAGTTTCTCAACTCGTACTCAAAAGCATATCATTATTGCTTATTTGGCATTGTATAATTTTATTTGTGTCAGTAATTTGTGTGATAAGTTTGAGAGATGTGATGCTGATAAGGAATACTTGGTACAACAGACAAGTTGCATGACACATGCACAGGGAGATGAGTGTGAATATGTGGAGAATGAGGATACCATTCGTAGTAGAATAGCTGATGCTTTGGTTAGTGCAAGAGGACGATAGTTATGTTAAGGGATGACATCATTGTATGAGCCCTTTATCTTTTATAAAATGCTATTGTTCTATTTATGTGGACCATATCACTTTGATTGATGAAAAACTCAGAAAAGATTAATTTTTCCTTTCCAACAAAATAGTCATTTACATGCGAATAAGTGAATAGAATAGTTATTTACGAGTAATTTGTATATTACTAGTCCCTCAGGCCTTCAGGCTAGGGGTATGACAAACATTTCTTACACAGCCTACAGTTTCACAGCTGCTCCAAGTAAACGACTTTTAGCTTTTCCCACAGCTCTTAGCTCACAGCAGCTTTTTCAAAAGCCACAGTTCAACCAAAAAAGGCCATAATATTTCTACAAATTACAAGGGTTAAGTCCTCTGACTGCTCTTCATTGTCTCCTTCTAACATTTGCGAAAACATTTCCTCTGGGAGTGTTATCATTGTGTGCTTGATCCTGAAACCCACAAATGCAATGCTAGCTTTTAAGGCCCCTTTCGCTTCGCTCGAAAAATAAGCTAAAATACTGTTCCGGCTGATTTGTTGTGAGAGAAAAATACTGTTTCGGTTAAAAAAACAAGCTGGAAGGTACGGATTATTCGTATATCACTACTTCATATCAGAAAATGTTGTATGAGTGAAATAAAGTGCACGAGAAGTGTACCTAAGTTCCAGATCCATGGTGTTAATGTTTTCTCCAATTTTCATAGTCTGTTTGCAAGATATTACAATGGAACCTCCAATAGGACAGAACTTCACAGAAGCAAACAGGAAGTCGAACAGGACATTCTGCAGTAGCTGCATTAAGTTCGTATTATTAAGCCTTTGCATGCGAAATTTCTCTGCATGGTCGGTAGATACTGTGATCCCTTTTCTTTGACAAGCCACCCGTACTTCACTTATTGCGACCTCTAACACGTCTTGTAACACAAGTTCACCCATCTCGAAAGTCATACTGGACCTGTGGACCCAGAAATATAATGGAACATTATTAAACCAATGGCCCTTACAACATTGATGTAAATCAGATAGAAAAACTACTAGCATGCTATGAGAACTTAATAAAAAACAAATGAAGAAAAAATGGTACGTCGTGGAGAACAAAACCTTTAACCTTTTTATCATACTTTTATGTCGCATCTGCTTCTCCAATTCTAGCTCCTTATTTATGTGGACAGCAAACACTTGTGCTATGAATTCACATGCATGCCGTAGCGAAAAGGGGACATGTCTAGGGCTCATATGCTGGCAAACAATGAGGCCCCATAGCTTCTTCCTCGGGTGACGCCATTCTGTTGGTTGTTCATGCTTGGCGTCAGAATATTCTTCATTTTCATTTATCACAACAGCCATTACTAGAGAGGAAACCGATTTCATGTTCTTCATATACTGAAGGTGACAACTTTGTGGCACCCCAAGAGTTTAACCACACAAGCTAACATTAAAAGGGAGTTCCTCGTCTTTGATAATCTTCACTGACCTCATAGAGCAGTCACATATCATTTGAACTTGGTGCTTCATGAAAAGAATCCTGGCGGCTTGAGGGATATCAGTGGCTGGATAGTGTAGGCCAATATATGGTTCAAGACCAGGTTTTCTAACCTCGGCAATGATCTCACCATGATAATCTTCATGGAACTTGTAAGCCATGACTCTATCATATCCCACTAAGTCAAAGATTTCTTGTACCAAAGTATTGCACAAGGCCTCCATGCTTCCACCTGGCACTGACTGGATCTTTGATACTGCCAGCGCCGCAAGCATGTAAGACTGCGGTGAAGCCCATGCAGCAGCAGTAGGAAATTCAGAAGGCTTCACTGGCCCAAAATCTACCACTAGACAACCAGTCCCAGTCACCTGATGGGCAATGGCATAAAACAGCTTGCCCGATGATTTGCATTCAGCTAGGACTGGATTCAGAGAAGAAACATCAGCAGACCTTAGTACCTTGTGTAGTGATGTGGCACTATATTCCATGAAAAGTGACAATGCATTCGTCCCAATGGACAACATTGGGGATTCATAGATACTTGGCTCTGCATGGCTGATTGTTTTAAACATCTCGGGTGCATTTTCACTGAATGCAATGACATTGAGGCTCATTGTATCAAGCACCAACAAGCAACCAAATGACTACAAGTAGGCCGTGTTCTCCTCTGAACGCTCCTGCTGTAGATTTGAAGTGGTCCCCTCTAACAATATGGGGTAATCATATTTTGTGCCAAGTTCAGCATCAAGGGTTATTTGTGCTGACATCCTTGCTAGGGAAGTCTGCCGGATTGTGTTGGAAGAATTGGAGAATTGGGTAGGTTTTGACGAAAACATTTTGTACCTCAAGTATATGATCCACTCAAAGGTATTACCAATTGTACCACTCCTGCTTAATAACACATCATCATCAAGTAAGTAACCACTATTGGAATTTGAAAAAAAAACAAAAGACTTACTTAGTGTATTACAATAATATACACTCAAAAATAAGTAATTAGAAAGCCCCTGACAAGACTATATACAGTGTAGCACACTAGCAGTACATTAGGGAAGATATATACCCTTTGTTCGTAGTGCAATTTATTAGATGTGCTTGGGAAGGCATAGTGCTATAGTATTCCAAAAATTTTCGTCAACAAAATAGTATTCAAAAGTTTTTTCTTAGCAATACAAAACATCTTACTATTACTAATGCTCTAATGGAGGCTCCATGTTAATTCTTACAATAATCCTAGAAATTCGGACAATAATCAGAAATATCTAGCATTTAATTTAGTATCTCTAAACATCCGTGCTAATAATACACATCGGATCTATTATGTTTTATTAAAAATTACCCACCTTTGTCATTATGAAAATACACATAGTAACCCACTAATTTTGTATCTAAATTACCTACTTCTTCCATTATGAAAATACGCAAAGTAACCCAGTAATTTTGTATCTAATTTACCCACTTCTTCCATTATGAAAAAAATTTCGAAACAAACCCATAAATTTGTATCTAAATTACATACATATGCCATTATGAAAGAATTTTCAAAACAACCCCAAAATTTACATGTAAATTACCCACAATTGCCATTAGTAAAAGATTATTCATAATAACCCTCTAGATTTATATCTAAATTAACCAACTCTGCTATTATGAAAGATAATTTAAAATAACACTATCGTATTTTTTATGAATTACCCACATATGCCATTATGAAAGATGATACAAAGTAATCCCTAGGTTTGCATTCAAATTACAAATATATGCAATTATGAAAGATATTAGAAAGTAACACCTTTTAGTTCATATGTAAATTATCCACCTTAGCCATTATAAACAATAACAAAAATATCTCTCAAATATAGATGTAAATGCTAATATAACCTATTACAAAAATATTTCAACATCCGTAAAGTATGTTATGTATATTTTTAAACTACACACTTTCTATGTGTTTACGTTAAAAGTAAACATAAAATTGTTAGTCAAGTAAATATGTACGCATTAAATAAATATTTATTTAAATATCATATCGAACATGGAAAAAATACTTAAGAAAATTCGTAGCAATGACTAACAACTTTAAGTCATGCCGGTAACAAAATTCCTAAGTTGTCTTAAATAAGTTTATACATATTGAAGAAACATTACGTTATATCCATATTAGCAATTTAATTAAATACTATATGATTTATAAAACAATACTACTACATATCTAATGTTTTGATATAAAAAAATTCAACATCTTTAGTTTCATGGTGCAAGATCAAACGACTATTTGAGACATTGTAAGAGCCGGGTAGACTTGAGCATAGAATATTTTCTTAAAATAAAATAAATTTTGAATAAAGGATACATAAGCAATAGTGTTTCAACTTAACACTTGGATAGAAAATTGCAACAACTAGAAAATTGTAAACAACTACAAAAACTCTATGACTGTGTAAAAAAATATAAAATAACCCATGAATCTAATATTTAAATTACGCAAATATGCCATTAAGAAACATGATAGATAACTAAGTATCCATCTACTATTACAATAAATAATCTACATAACCCCTAAAATTTGCAAGTAATTACCCACTTGCTATTATGATAGATAATCTACATAGCTCCTGAAATTTCCATCTAAATTACCAATTATGTCATTATAAAAAACTAAATTGTCCCCTCAAATCTAATCTAAATCATCAACATCTTCTATTACAACAAATGTTTAAATAAACGTAAAACATATATATTTGGATATTACCCACTTATATTGATATTAATATATTAAAATTTGACCAAATAATCATACATGTTCTACCATCATTCAAATCATGAACACATGCATGCTTGAGTGATAAATATATATGTTATGTTTCAACGATCATGAAAAATATTTGCTTAATAATTCATACACTAATGATAATAACAAAGTATTTAACACTATACTAATAGCCATGACATATAGTTTATATAAGTTGTTACTTTAGATATATTTACACATTTTAATACAAAAATGTTTGACATATCTATATTGATTGATAGTATAACTATTATTGCACATATTCCTTGACAAGAAAATTCGAATAGCGGAGAGAAGTGGGGAAGGTTAGTACAGCCCACATGTGGCTATATCTTCCTAGACTTTGGGATTCATTTGGATAAATAATTATTATAAAGCTTAAATATTAATATCCTATTGAGGTTAGCATCTTTACCCATCCTAGATCTCACTTCAATCTCTACCACCGATCTTAAGCAACATTATGTAACTTTTAAATAATTGTTTATGCCATTGTAGTACTTAAGATTACAAGTTACGATCTCAAGTCCTTATTGTTTTTTTTAAAAGCACAAAAGGATAAAAAAAACTATATCAAAGTAGAAATTAGTAAGGTATAATTTGGAAAATTAAAATTTAGATTCACGGCATCATAATATATGAGCTGAACAAGAGCAACCATAATTGAAGCTAAGGTTTGAACTAAATGCATATTAAATATACACAAACATATTCTGCAAAGAAAAAACTATGGATATAAATAAAAAGCATATAGATAAATAATTGATAATAAGTTTATTACGATGGCGTAAACACTACAAAGTGTCTATTGTGCTATGTTAAAATGAACAAAGAGAAAAATTACAATTTAATATAAATATTTTTTATTAGTAAGAGGTATAAACAATAATTCAAGCAAAGAGAAAAAAAGACATAAGTATCAATTATTGTTTAGTTACAACCATCACTCGACGATACACGAGTGGCACTGTCTAAATACAACGCTCACTCCACAATTAGTGCCGCTTTCATGGTTAGTGATAAGTCAACTTTCCTTTTTTTTGTAGTTGAAGATTACCAGGAACATTTTTTATTAACTCAAATAAGTGATTAACAGGGTGATAGGGTGATAATTCATAGTTAGTGATTAACAGGATGGTTATAAAAATAAAAACAAAACAATAATAATAATAATAATAATAATAATAATTAGTGGTCGGAGTTTTCCAACAAGTAGCCAAAGTCAAACCGTCTGCATTAGTTTTTCTATGGCTAATTAGGTCAACTTGACCAGGTATAACAATAATCTTTTTCTTATCTGAGCCGTCCAATCACAACCAATCTTAATTCATTCATGCCACAAAAAGTTCAGTGTGGACAGATGAGAGGGAACTAATAAGAGAAATTAAAGACAAGCTGGTATGAAAGGAAAGGGAAATCCAAGCCCAGCCCCCAGGCTCCAGAGTCCAGAGGACGGCGTACCAGTACCAGGGCAGTAGGCAGCGACAGCCCGATCTGTTTGTTGCCCCTTGCCAACAATCATATGCTTGTGGTGGTGGTCGACCTCGATCGACCAGGTGCAAATTTATAGGCGGATGGATCAGAGCTGCGCCCGTCACGCCGCCGAACGACTGGCTAGCGACCTGCAGGAAGGCAGAGACGACCTGCAGGAATGCGCGTTCTGTCTGCTCCTGAAATCGGCGGTGATGTTTGCCGTTCCGGGCTGCATCCATTGCAGCGCTGGGAGGGCCTTCACGTCTCCCACTAATCCAGATGAAGAATTTCCGTTACGGGGAAAATGGACAATCCTATGCATTTGTAGAAATAATACACTCTCTCGACACGGTTTGTTGCTGGGCACAAAAGACATTCAGCGAGAACTCTGCCGAATCACTAGCTTTCCATGGTGGTATGCTAGACTGCTAGCTTTATGTTTTCGTTGGAGATGGATTAACATATAGTATAATCAGCAGCAACAAAAAAAAAAAGACATGTCATCGGCAGGTAAAGAACCATGCCTAACGACCTAGCAAGACCATGCTCCCGAGGCCTGTGTCGTAGAATTTTTTAATACATATTATTGGCAGCAAAGCAGTCAGTGGACTTCGCATTTTCATATTTGAGATTTGAGAATCAAATACAAGAGAAAATGGTAAACTTTGAGCCAATTTGGAAGAAATTGGATCAACGTGGGAAAAGCCCGATTTCTAGTGGCCGATGTTAACCGGCCCAGGCTGGTTTTGCCTGAGTTGGTGGTCGCCACAATGTGCAAACCTGCCTAGGCTGGTTTTTGAAACTGAAATTCGATCAAAACTCCTGGGATCTCATGGAAAATCTCTGTACATCCTGTTTTCTACCGACCCAATCATCTTAGGAGTCAGGAGGAATTTGGGAGGACCACAAATATGGCTCTAAAACCTCTGGCACCCATGTACCACGTAAATCTCTCGAATTACCGAGTGAGCTCGAAGTACGTAATCTCGGAGGACGCATGCCCATTGGGAAAACCAGAAAAATAGTTGATTAAGTTCGGACAAAAGCACGAGCTCCCGAAGATGGAAAAAAAGGTTTACGGCGTTCCTCATGATGGGTCTACCCAGCCATGTCTTATACTGAGATATGGGTGCCACTTGTTCTACCTGTTAAAAGCTCAAAGAGTAGTATGCGCAAATGCCTTGCGCTGCTTACGCGTTCGTCATTCGCCTTGGTGATTCCTGAACCAGGACACCTGACTTCCTGGGCTGCTTCTGAGTCTAAGGGGCATCGCCCCACACCCCTCGGATCGAAATACTTGCGTTGGCCAGAGATCTCGCCGGAACAGGAGTACCCAAAGAAACGTAAAGT